TTCTGTTCGAATCTTATTGATGAGCCCAATATTCGTAAAGCTAAAATAACATACAAAATTCCGATATTTTTATGATTAATGGATATAAATGATTATCGATTATAATAAATGTAATTGCTTAAAGTAATTTTATTCGAAATTTTTAACTCTGGCATCGAGAAAGTGAACCGTTATCGAGAATCAGACAGTGGCGCACGGTCCACCGCGCTACTCACAACCTACCACGCTACGCTAGAAAGAGAGGCTCCACCGTATCGATTGGAGTCGCGTGGCCGAAGCGTGGCATATCATCCCTCTTCCTTCGCGCACGCTTTCCTCTCTGCCGTTTCGAACGAGAACGAGAGGGACAAGGAGCGGCGTTGAGTTCGAGAAGGACACGCGAGCAGGCGTGTACGATGGAAAAGGAGGGGGAGGGTAGGAAACAGAAAGAGAGACGAATACTTTGCGTCTCAGACACGCTTCGCTCGTGTGCCTTCGAAACGTCTGACGCGAGGCCAGCTGCCCTTCGTCGCGCTGTTTCTCCACCGAACGGAATCTCGTTTCGTTCGCGACAATAAGACGATCGTCCCTTCCCTTCCCATAGTTTAAAGGGAATGGGATCAGAGTGGTAGTGGTGATGGTGGTGGTGGTGGTGGTGGTGATCGTGGTCATTCGTGTAACATCTGATCGACGATACGCGCTTCTTCCAACAGAGGGAACTGTATACGAGGTAACTGTGGAAAACGCTATATCGTAACTATACGCAGAGATTACGTTCGCTTCGATTAACTTTGCGGTTACAAGTTGGGGAAGAGATATGCGTGCTCTTGTTAAGGAGATACGATCGATCGATACGATCCAAGATAAACGTAAGTTGCGATACGATTAAAGAACATGAGTCGAGAAACGTGACGTAACTGTTCTCGCTATTCTCTTATTTCGAAGTTTTCGACGCGACTTTGGCTCCGTCGAACTAAATGAAATCCCCCGTTGGATGTAGAAATATCGAAACGTTCCTTCTTTCTTACATTATCTTTACACTTGCGATCCAACCTTTACTTTATACGCTCGTGATTATACAACTATGAGCAAAAAGTAGCGATTATAAATTTTTTTTTTTTACTCGTAATTAAGATTTAATCTTCCGACAAAGGGCGGAGAAAGCTCTCGTTTTACTTTCCTTTACCTGTTTCCATTAATCACCGCATTATTACGCGTCACGCTTTTTGCTCTTGTACGAGTAGTACAAGTGAAAAAAATAAACGGTCGAATAATAAGAGTGGTATATAAGTAGGTGTATATCTACTTACCGTGAGTAACGATCAAAAAGAATAAATTACATCTATTTGGCGCGAATGACAAGCGTTAAAACATTCGTTGATAAAAAGTAAAACGATCAGCTATAAATATACTTGGTTTTATGCAATACGCATTAACGAGATCGAATCATTTTCGCACTGATTCGAAGGTTGTTTATTCGCCATGCAAGTCGATAGCGAAGCGCACTTTCGTAGCCGGTGACTTGCAGGTACTTGGACGCAACGCAGGTGAGAGAGTAACTTGCACCTGGATGTACCGAAATTAACCAGTATCAACGAACAACGATCAGATCAATATTTCATCGAAAATCCAATCGTCTGTATTAATCGAATAATGAAATAATCACTTCGATTACTTGTCCTGATCAAAGCTTCTCTTACTTAACACTTGCCATTCTTCGTAATTATTTTTTTCTTTTTTTTTTTTTTTTAACCATCATTTTCAACCAATTTAAAACAATCTACCTGTTTCCTTTATTTTATCATACCGTTAAATTAAGATCTCTTTCATTTTTAGTTAAAGAAAAAAATTTTTTACAAAACTTCACGGTTTCAGCGCGAAAAAATTTTTCGAATGTTGCGATTGCACTTTCTCGAGTCTCGAATATTTTTTTTTTTTAAAAACAACAATTCGGTTGGTGAAATATCTATGCGGCTTGTCTCTTAATCAATTTCTTGGCAATAGGATGCCGTTATTACGCCATCTCTTCGTTTCGGAAGAAAATTATTCCTTTTATGACCATCGTAACTTTTTTAGACGTTTGTTTAGGATTTTCATTAGCATCCAACCGTTCTCCAGATCGCATACGATTATACCATCCATTTCTCGTCACAACTTATAATTCTATTCAAAAATGATTTTTTTCACTTTATTCATTGCAACGTCTGAAAATTGTGATACTCTCGACTCTTGCCTTCACTCTCTCTTTCAATCCATCTTTATTTAATACGGATTTCTCGTTTCTGAAACCACTACTATCGAACGATCCTCTCATCATTCATAAAAGAAAAGAGATCTTAAAAACTGATCCAATATTTCGATACGCTTAAACTCATACCACTGTAATAATATTCTAAATTCACTTCTCAAAGCAAACAATCAAACTAATACAAAAATGAACTTGTTAAGTAGAGTTTACAACTAGCAATCTAATAATACATACATGTAAAATTTCCTAATCACAGTCAGAAAAATCACAGAGACGGAGCTGAATTTTTATTATTTTTTTTCCTCGAGTTCCTTAATTAAGAAAACACTCTTGAGGGGGGGGTCGCGACTTCCGACTTCCTCCGCTGGCCGGACAGATAGGTCGGTTCCTGGTTTCCAATGAACGGTTCTCTCTTATGGCTTGCGTCCAATATCCATGGAGCATAACATATGCGGGCAGATGGTTTCTGCCCCCTTCCAGCTCCCCCCTCCTTCCACTAAACCTGGCCACATTCGATTTTGGTCTTTCCTTCTCACCGCTTGCCTCCCTCCCTCCCTCTCTCTCTCTCTCTCTGCTTCCCTCGTTCAATCGCACGCTCAGCGACCCGATCCAAAAAAGCCCGAGGCACCCTCTCTACGTAGAGTGCTCTTGCCTGTTGCCCACCCCAAAAATATCCCGAGACTCATCCAACCACCCTATTGCACCCATCAGCCACGTGCACAGTGGTTCTCTCCTCCGCTGACAACCACTTGTGGATTGTCGTCCTCGTTTTTCCCTGACGTGATCTCTATAATTTTTTTTTATATGTATTATTTTTATCCAGGTATCGACACTTGGTTTCGTTTCGTTTCGTGCAAATGATGCAAGAGAATTATATTTTATAGGCATAGGTTTAATTTAAATTTCCAACAGAATTTCTAGAGGGATCGATAAGGTTAAGGTGAACCCTCTTAAAAAACGGGTTCTCCTCCCTTCTTTCCCTCGCTGCACGTCTACTACGTCGTGGAACCCGTCGAATCGCGCATTGCGATGTTAAGGCAACCTTGCACACGTGAGAGAAGCGCGAAAGGAGAATTGGAGAGTTTTAGGGGTGGATTCAGCATGCGTGGCATGCGACGTTATTCTTTTGTGTCTTCGACCCCGTACGTACGTACGTACGTTCGCACCACGTTCGTCTGTCTCGCTCCTACTCTTTCGCACTCCCTATCGCTCTGTCCTCTTCTCTCGTACGCGCTCGTGCGCCAGGGGTGCCAGCCACGCAGCCCTCCATTTATCTAGGCGAGTGCCTGCACATGCGTGTTCGCACGAGGCCAGTGGTTTTCAAGCGATTAACGCTTGGAACGCTTGGAATCCCGCTCAATTCTTTTTCCCACCAAAATTATTATCGATCGCTTAATCGATAACTTGTCCAAATATGATCCGTTATTACCTACCAACGATAACGAGAATCGCCTCGGTTTATGCGTATTGAATACGATTGTTTCTTTATTATATACGTGGCGTACAACTTTTCGTTTCGCTACGATTCGCAATTTATCGGAAAATTTCACTCGATCCTCGCCTTATTCACTGTATTTATTATATACCTTTGTATACTTTATATTTCGAATCGGATTATAAATACAAATACATGTTGTTG